ACAGAAGTCCAATGTGACATGGCAGCAAAAATGCCTGCACTGAAAGGGGCCTTGTGTGCTAGAGCAAGGAGGGAAGAATTCTAGTGCATTCAAATATGAATGTCCCATAATCTGGGTGAGATCCTGAATGGCCTCCAGTTTGTCAGTAAAGAGCAATATAAATGATTAATGGAGAAAAGGGAATCTTAGCTTAGTGACAACTAACCTGGGGACATGCCCCTCTTTGATGGGCATGAGAAGGAAGATAAATTATTTAGCAGCTACAGGGGAATTTACCTCAGTATTTATAGCAAAAATCTGTCTACGAACCACTGAGTGAAACCATGACCATGGAGTACCCTGCTGCCCCTTAATATGATTTGTGCCTTACCCTTCTGATGCAGGCTGGATTGATGGATGCCGTTCCACTAAGATGGAGCAATTTTTGCTTTAATTTAGTTTATTTACCACTTTCCATATGAAGTGTTTGGGCATAAAGCTCTAAACCTAGTAGATGCTAGGCTAAACAGACAGGACAAACTCACATGGGAAAGGAGGACCCTCCTAATGGAACAGTTAGAAAGTAAACACTGTTGGTCTATTATCTGCCTTGCCAAGTACAGTAGGAATATCAGCCATCAGGTTAGATCGTATCACACACAGTTTCCCCTTCAGCCATACAAAACACTGCTGCTAAATTTGTCTTTTGTGTCTGTTGATCTTGTTCTCTGAATCCCCAGTAACAAATTCTTGTCATTATCTTCAAAGTTCTCTATAATTCAGCCCTGTAACAGCTTCCCTTGGTCCCAGGTACGCTGCTGCCTCTGTTCCCTCCTACACCTGTGCAGGCCCTTCTCTTCAAATGTCCCTCCCTCTCTTGCCTGCCACATCTTGATTTTACAGAGGGTACACATAACTGAAGAGAAAGGCACCTAGTTGATAGGGCTTATGGCTTTGCTGGTCCTCCTGGATTTTCTCCCCCCTGTACATCCTCCAGGTTCTTCCCCAAGCCAGTCTCTTCCTTTTGAAACTTCTGAACAGACTCAGCACCAAGTTGGCTTTCTTCGTGACCTGTCAGGCCTTCCTCTAGTTATTCTGTCTGGTCTCTTCTCTTTCTGCTCCTGCCTTCTCCCCACATACAGCCTTTCTGCCCCCCTTGCTGCTAAGGTTCTTCCTTTATACCAATGCTGCTCAAATTCAGGCCTGTGGGACCATGTCATCCAGCCCATGAGACTCTCCATGTATCTGGAAATTTGGTGGCAGGGGAGTAATGGTAACTGCCATGGTGAGATGCCATGGCCCCACGCCAGATAATGTCAGCATGAGGGGGTTGCTCCGCAGCCATATCCAGCACATGAGACTGAGCTGGCATACTGGAACATACCCACGCACCAACCCTGCCCATTAGATCCAGCATGTCGCCTGACCCCACCCATCAGATCCAGCCTGCAGACCAGCCCTGTGCCACTCATCCAGCCTGTGGGGCTGAAGGTTGAGCACCACTTGAGGTGCATGGCCTTCAACCCACTGGTTTCTTCTTAAAGGCCTTGTCTTTTCTTCCCTGTAAGAGATCAAAGGGTCCCTGTTACAGGTCCCTCTCTCTCTTCTCCTCCCTTGTCAAGCTTTGTGTTGCCTCTTCCCCTTCTACTTTAACAATTCTCCTACCTTGGCTACGTGTTGATCAGACTCTCACACATCACCTCTGCATATTTCCATGCAGCCTCCTATGTCCAATACAACCTCTCTGGACTCAGCTGCAAATGATACAACCTTTCCAAATACAAAGACCCATTTCTGCCATTCCGTCTATAGCTAACCACATTGACTTGCATATGAATCACATGTTAATTGTCTATCACTATTTCCCGTCCCCTCATGCTTGAGTACCTCTTTGTCCTTAGGTTGTGAGCTCCTTGGAGGAGGGCCCATCATACTCAAATAACTGGAAAGCATCCAGTACTTAGTTGGTGCTACTATGCGAATAATCAATCAACCATCGTACCTAAACACATTCCCTATTTGGCACACAGGTACCACTTCTTTTATACATATGTTATACATATGTATAATTTGAAACATGTCACCTATTCCCCCCATGCATATAGCTCACACCTAGCATATTGGGTTAAAGGCAATGCAGAAGAGCTGCCAGCGGACAAAGACACTTCCAAATCATAAATCACAGAAAAGGAAACAAAATGCTCACTGTTGCAGCATTTTCAAGGGCATTGCATGTCAGAGAGCTGCCCACAAAAACCATGACACAAGCTCATAGATTCTTGGGAACTGACTGGCCTGCCTAATCAAGGCAATACTCAAGCCATGACTGGAATTGGAGTATCAGATGAAAATGTCTTCTACGTGGCCTGGGGATACACTTCATGGAAGGCTTAGAGAACAGAGAACATGATGCCCCTTTAGAAGTACAGGCCTTTCCCATTTGGGTTTTGCACCTCCCCCTGCCGCTAACACAATCAGATTCTCACCTCTGCTATTTTACTTCTCATCCATAGATTTCAAAGCACTTCATGCAAGTAGGTCAAGTATCAGACAAAGGAACTAAAGAACAGAGAAGTAAACCAATTTGCCTAAAGTCATCCAGCTACAAGGTAGATCCAGGAAGAAAGAGATGGTTCTTGAGTTCCAGAGCAGCACCCCTAGCTACTGAATCACAGAATCAGGTGAGTTGGGGAACTAGTACTAGCCAGTCTGGAGAGCAGAAAAAATCAACTAAGAGAGATTCCAGTCCCTGGTGGAGGCTCTGAGCAGAGAACCCAGATGAAAGTTACGCTGTGGAACTCAGTGTGTGCACTGTACATCGCTGAATCCTGATGTGAAACTCCTGTTCTCCTTCCTACTATTCCCCATGGCCATGCTTCACTGACGGTGCACAGAGCTACCAGATTCTCTTGGCAGGCTGCTCTTCCCCATGTCCACATCAAACACAATGCTCTAAAACGCTGGAGCAATTTCTAGAAGGATGTAGGGGTTTTTTTGGCTTTGTGCAACAAGTTTTTGGATGAGAACAAGTCATTGGCTATTTCAAGCCAGTCTATCCAGAGGTACAAATGTGCAGTATGTGGAGAGCCCACAGCAAGGTGGGGAAGGTTGCTGACGATCCACTGCTGCTAAATAAACACTGGCCTTTCCCAACCCGAGTATCCTGTCTGCAAGGGTATACTGGTTTTTGTGGCACACTGTCTTTCCAAGATATGAATTAACACTCGCCCTAAGAAGAGGGATTGGGGAAAATGTCTGAAAATGATTTTTTTGGCTGCTGATGTATAGCAGGAGAAAGGGGTGGAGAAAAAAAACAAGGAGGAAGTGAAAGAGGGAAAACAGAGAGGGAGATGAAAGGAAAAACATTAAAAGGTGAAGATTTTCCAAACTGCATTAGGCAGAAGGGGCAGGTCACCTTACTTCTCCCTTTACCTCCAGCTATGGCATCAATTAAAAGTAGCTAAAATACTGTTTGGATGTGATTTTACCTCATGAGCCATCAATATCATAGAACAGTAAAACATCCTAGGCTTAGGAGGGACAGGGCCCAGGTGATAGGGAACAGGAGAGAGGTGGGCAGACCTGGGTGTGGCATGAAAAACAATGAGTGAAAAGAAATGTGTGTGTATGGAGGGGGAGAGGCTGGGGAATGGTGAGCAGGAGTGGGGGCAGGAGGTCTACTGGATAACAAGTAAGACCTACGGGATCAGGTCTGGTAGATGAGCAGGAGGAGAGTGGTGGTGATGGTGAATGGTAAGAGAAAGTGAAATGGGAGCCACAGTAGCACATGTTGGCTGGAGGGGAATGGATGGCAATGAACAGGAGAGTGATTAAGATGGGAACTGAAGGCGAGATGGCAGCCTGGGCAACAGTGAGTAGGAGAGGACTGTGACAGTGACCAGTAGAGCAGGACAGGGGCCAGAGTGGTGGCTAATGGGAGGGAGAGGCAGGGTGGTGGGGGAGTAGGAGACAGAGGCAGGTGACAGGGTATAGGACAGGGAGGCTGGAATGGAGCAGGCAATGAGAAGCCTGGAGAGGTTATGGGAAGCAGGTAGCACAGAAGGGGCTCAGTAAAAACTGTGACTGACAGGAGAGGTCTGTCTGGTTGCAGGCAAAGGCAAGTGGGAGAGGTGGTGTCCAAGAAACACTCTCTCTTTGAAGATGTGGTTCCACTATAAGAAAGGCCATGCTAAACAAATTGCCTCTCTCATTAACGGCAACTTCAGATCTGCCTGAGCTTGTGCACACCAATGGCCGCAATACTGCAGCTCTGAACTGCTCAGCTCGGAGAGAGAAGGGGGAGAGAGCGGTGGGTGGGGGGAGTGAGTAGAGGTTTAACAAAGAATCACTTTAACAGAAACTCCTGAGTAACGGCTCTGCCCCAGGCCAAGAATAACATCAGCTCAATGTCAGCAATTAGAAGAGGGCTCAGCCAGGCTCCATGGCCAGCCCCAGCCTCCTCACAGGCACGGCATGGCTCACAGCGCTCCCCTGAGCTCATCAGCAGTCACTGCTGCCTGCCCAGAGCCCCTTGGACAGGGATGAAAGAAAGGCCTTCTGCTCCTGCTCAGAGGGGCAGCAAGTGGTTTGGTGGTGGGGGAAGTTTAGGGAAGTAAAGCAGACAGAAGAGCCAGAGCCTCAAGAGAACTTGTGCAGGGAGCAGAGCTGGGAGCTGCTGCCCCCTTCAGTCTCTCTCTCAGGAAGCAATGAGGGTAATTAGGCCACAAACTATTTTTAGGGACCGTGCTATACTAACCTGTACCTCTGATAAATGAGAAAGGTGTTGGAGACCTGCATACTAAGCTTTTGATTTTGTTTGAGTCTAATCCTACCAGACTGCACAGCAAAATATCAAGATCTCCCCCCAGTTCAGGACAAATAATCTGAACTAAGTGCAAGTCCACAGAGCTGCAGCTCCCACTGTCCCTCAAGCAGCATCCTTGCTGGAAATCTGCCCTGAGTGGGTCCTATAGGTGTAGAACTCAGCACCGATACTTCTTGGGCAGGCTTTTCTCAGTTACCTGGTGTCGGGCTCGACTCTGCTCCAAGAGCTGTCGGGACTGAATCTTCTGTTGCTGGAGTTGCTGTACAGCAAAATGAAGCTGATAGCTGCCGGCAGTTGGCTGATACTTGGGATATGCCAGTTGGTTCCCTGTCACCTTGCTGTAGACACTGTTCTCCAATTCCCCTTCCCAGGAAAAGCCATCATCACTCTCTGGAACCCTGAGAAAAGAAGAGGCATCACACATCTTCACATGCCTTCCAGCTTCGAGACCCTGCATGTAAGACTGGGAGAGACCCTGCTCACAAGGCATTGCAGCTGCCCAAGAAGTCCCTAGTAACTTGCAAGGCGTACGACTCTGCAACAACTGGGTAGTATAGGCAAGCAGCAAATATGCAGCAGATGTTGAGAGCCAACTGTGGGCTTCATAAGGAACCTCCTGCACAGGCACCAATTGTTTCTTGAACTCTGGAGTGGTGCTATATTACCTTGCCACCAAGCCAGAGGAGAAAATGACAAAGAAAAAAGAAAAGGGGAAGTTCGAGAACAGGACACAACCATGGCTAGCTACCACTGAGGAGGAACAGCCAACCTTACAGCCCCCACAGAGCTGAGCTAATGAAATCCTGTAACTAAGGAGCTAGAGGGCACGTTTAGGATTGTAAAGGTTTTGCCAAAACATTAGAGGAAGTCTTAACCACTCTCATTCCAAACAGGCAAATGCTGGAAGGGGTGGGAGGACAGATGGAATGAGACCCGCACCTGCAGGAAGGGCAAGGAGACAGCTCATACAAGACTGGGAGGGTTAGGGAGCATTTGGACATGTAGTAGCTCCATACAGTTATGACTCAAAAGCCTGAAGGGTTTCAGAGGTTAGGTTAGTTTTTCATCATCTTTAGTAACATAAGCCCTGTCTCAGGGTTGCAAAGGAGAAAGTTTGTTAAACAAGCAAAGGTCTTTTGCAGAGGCAGGAATTTTTACAGCCTAGGCTTGGAAAGAGGAAGCTCAGCTGTGGCCCACAATGTGAAAGCGCTAACAGGAGCTCACATGTTTGCTTTGAAGTGTGTGAACCTGATTCAGAAAACAGCTACAGCACTTTGCAAAGGCAGGCCCATGGGCTTTGTAGAGGGCAGACGGTAGAATGAGAAGGCCACCAGGTGTCCCGGAGATCCAAGGATAGACCAGCAACCCATATTCCATCTGCTCACAGGCATTGACACTACATGGTTGGCTCAATCCCGGCACTCTGGCCAAAAACCCTTAAGGGGTTTGCTACTTAAGCTTCTCATGTTCTTACTGAGCTCTACCATTCTTTCCTCCCACCATGCCCCACATCTAGATACTCTCTTGGGACTCTCAGACTTCCCTTGAATTTCCTGTGCACACTGAAACTAATTGGGATTCAGATGGTATTTATTGCTGCTGCTTTATCCTGCAAGCCCAGGGAACAGGCCGTGTTTTAGGACAGCAAGTACCCCAGTCTCCCCACTTCCTTGCATCCTTACAAAAGCTCCTAATTCCCCAGACTCTTCCTAAGGCAGTCTCTGAAAACCTAGCCTCTGAGCCAACCCAGACCATCTTGAAGATGATCTGTATGCTTCCCAGAAAGGGCTAGGAGCAGGGACTCTACACACATTAAAAGGGTCTATCTTCACACACCTGCTCAGTGGCAATGGAGCAAGACAGCCCAGCAAAGGAATCTGATTGCTAGCTTCTCCCTACTGCTAACTATGGGAAACCCTCTGCAAGGAGCTCCCAAACAAATCCATTTTATGTGGGCCAATGACAAACTGACTTCCCCCTCCTCGCCCCTTTGCGCTGCTGTCTGCAGGTCACCTCTTCAAAGGAAACTTTGACTAGAATCTTTGCAAATGACTTTTGTCCCCAACTGATTGGGGCTTTCTTCTCTTTCCCATCTCAAAGTGTTTGAGAGGCAGCAGGGTGTGGTGGATAGGTCACAGGCCTCACTCAGGAGACCAGAAGCTTAGATCTGGGTCTGCCACTGGCTTTCAACAAGTCACTGCACCTTTCTGTTCATCTTTCTTCTCCCCCCCCCCGCCCCCCTTCTTCTGTTCACTGTTTCCTTCTTCTGTTCACTGTTAGATCTCCCCAGGTCCCCAGATCTCCTCTACCTCTAACTAACACAATGAGTGAGGAATAACTCTGAGGTGCCTAGTATCTAGGACAGGGGAGGGCAATTATTTCAGCTGGAGGGCCACTTAATCAGTTTTGGTGAGCTGTGGAGGGCTGCATGAGTGGCCCTGCCCCCTGGTCACCATCTTGAAACCAAAAGTCCCACCCTCTAACTCTGGTGGATCTTTGCCACCAGAAGTCCCTCCCTTTGGCCCCCCGGAAATGTGCCTTTTGGGAGGGGACGGAACCGGAAAAAAACCAAATCTTACACTAAACACCTACTATAGTATATTTTAATTTTATTACAAAAATATTTAGCATGTTTTGTGTTTGTGTACTATATATAGAGATGACTGCATAAAAACTAAAAAACAAAGCCTTACTCTTGTAGTGTGTGTGTGTGTGTGTGTGTGTGTGTGTGTGTGTGTGTGTGTGTGTGTGTGTGGAGGGGGGGTTGTGAGGGGGTGTGGCTGCATGTGGGGGGAGGGCAATAGGGTATACTGGGGGACTCCCACCCATGGTGCACTGCCCCAGCTGCCAGCAGCACCAGCAGGCAAAGGCGCTCCTTGCTCAGTGGCACATGGCTCCGGCCAGTGCTGTGAATGGTGGCGAGAAGTGCATCCTGTAGCCCCCGCACTTGCATGGCACCAGTGCAAAGCTCCATGTGCTGGAGCTGGCTGCCTTTGCCGCTCCCTGCTGCACAGGTCCCGGGACTCCATGGGGAAGCAGGGGCCGGGGCTCCCCTCTATTTCCAGCAGAGTCCTGAGACCTGTGCAGCAGGGGGTGGAGAAGGCAATCAGTTCCAGCGCACAGTTTCCCTCTGCTGCCCCAGGCGCATAGCACAGAGCCCTGATAAGAGGCAGGCTGGGCAGGCTGCGCTCCTCACATGCAGTGCTGGCCAAAGCCATGCACTGCCAGCACCTGCGCCAGGCACAAGTGCCCCTGCCTGTCGGTGCTGCACACCACAGGGGAGAGTCCCCTCATTCCCCACCCTCCCTCATACCCGTACCCTGCCCACTGAAGCTCTGCACTCCACACTGCCACCAGCCACAGACCCTGCTTCCTGCCCCCACCACTTCTCTACCTGCTGGGCAGAGCGGGCTCGGTGCCAGGGAAGCCAAGCAGGTCCCCTGGCAGCTGCATGCTGGCCAGGCCAGGCCCTTCCATACATGAGTGGGAGCAAGGTGCAATAGGGTATGTTGGGAGGGGTGGATACATGGGTGCCTCACTCCCACTCTCATGGGCAAAATGGCTCAGCAGGGTACAATTCGTTGGTGAGCGCCCATGGACCGAATGAAAGTGCCTGGTGGGCCAGATCCGGCCCATGGACTACATTTTGCCCGCCCATGGTCTAGGGGGGAATGCGTCTTTCCCTACATGAGCGCACAGTAAAGCACTTGGCTCGTAAAGCCCTTGGCTCCCCAGTATTGCTGGGTCCTGCTCTGACGCTAAACTTTGTTCATCATGCACATGCTGCAAACAGAACTGGGGAAGTACTACAAGCCTCTCAGCACTGCTCCTTACATTTCTTTTTATTGCCATTTTTTAGGCACCTTGTGCTTTGTGCATCACAAGGCATATGATGTCCATCTGCTCCCTCACCAGGAATGATACCCATATGATCCCTCATCAGTCAGACCTGCTCCTAATATTGTTTTTATCAAGTTGCTGCCATCTGGTCCTTTCCCCATGTCCCTAGATTAACATCTAACCCTCCCAGGACACAGATCCTGACCTCATTCTCTACGCACATGTGAAACAGCTGCAGCAGCTGTGCTCCAAACAAAGCTGGGGTCATGCTAACAACTGAGAAACACATAGGAGATTGCACCAAAACTACAGCACAAGGGGACACCTTCGGGGGACCATCACTTGCAGAAACAAGACACTGGCCTCAGTAGATACAAAGACTGAAAAACAATCACAAATACAGCTAGCATTAGTGAAGGAGCCACCCTTCAATGCCAGCAAAGGACCTTGAGCTTCTGTCCCTCAATTTAAAGCCAACTAACATTCTGCCTGCTTTTTGCCTGAGGCGAGTCACTTTTTTTCACATCACCAATTTTTCATCCTTTGGTCATGGCAAAGGAGGAACAAGCAGATTTTGTGCTGGATTATGAAAGTCAACAGTCAAATTTCCCTTTAAATCCTTGAAGCTTTCGCTAACAATCCACCGCAGGAAAGTGTCAAAAACCAATATTCACCCTACGTAGAGAAGACCTGAGGATATATTTCATGGATATTGCTGTGTTACTGTAAGAGTGACACTTCCTAGTTTACAGCCAGATCAGGCTCTTTAGCTTTAGTGTTGATGGTCAGTGGCTGTGGTAGATTGAGGGAAATCATTGGAGTGTCCATTTTCAGTGATAGTGCCCATATCAAATAAGTACTTTTCTGCACGAGTATGCTTCAAAGTTTAGAAGACGCTTTATGATATTTTTTCATTTGCTTTTTTTTTTTTTTTTCAGCTGAAGCTGAAACTAAATACAGCTCCATTGTGCTTAACAATTTGTGTAGGTGTAAGTGTGGTCCACTTGGTAGCAAAGGGTACGCAGTTCATAGTACAGGGCTTAGGACCATATGCAGAGAAGGATACCTGGCTTTCAGCTCTGCATCACTATACGTGGTATTTTATAAAATTAGCTATCAGGAGGTTTGAGAATCAAGGTGCTGCTGCCAATCAAATACTCTAAGCCCCTAGGCACCTTTACCTCTTTGCCATGCTCTCAGGGCAGCTTAATACTGACGTTTCCTTTTCTCAAACTGTCTGCATGCTGTTTTGTTGAAGCAAAGGTCACCTTTAGGCTACATATGGGGGCGTTTTTCCCATCTTAAGTGCCCTGCAGCAGGCTCAGCACAAGGAATTAACAGCTGCCCTTCCTCTCTTCTAGAGAGCTGTTACTTAAACTATCTGCACTTCACTTTCTCTCTCTACTGAACTCCAGACTGCTGAGCACTCATTTGTTTCAGCTTAAGATTGTCACTTGGACACTAACAACTGTTGGCTGCCTGGACACTCACTTGTGCATGCACACACACACGCACACCAGAAGAGATTAGATTTCAATGCATTACCCAGGCTGGTTGT